CCTAACCCATATGCATGTGAGAGCTCAACAATGAATAAGGAAGACTGAAGAAGAGTTGATGCCTTTGAATTGTGGGGCTGGTGAAAAATACTGAAAATACCAATGACTGTTAGGAGAAAGAACAAATATGTCCTGGAAGAAATGTAGCTGGAAGCGAGAATGGCCAGACTTCATCTCACCAGTTTTGGTCATATTGTTAGAAGGGACCGTTTCCTAAAGAAGGATATCATGCTTGGTAAAGTAGAGGGTCAGCAAAGAAAGAGAAGACCCGCAAATAAATGGACTGACACAGTGGCTGCAATGATAGGCTCAAGCTTAGCGAGGACTGTGAGGCGGGGGTGGGGCTGGACAATGTTTGTTCTGTTGTACACGGGGTCGCTACGCTGACTCGACAGTGCCTAACACCACATAGTTAGAGAGGTATTCTACACATATGAGGTACGATTACTAACATTACTGTTCTGGTTACCTAGTGCCACTCTGACAGGAACATACCACAAATGGGATGGCTTTACACAAACATTTATTCTCTTAAAATTTTGGAAGTTAGAAGTGCAAGTTCCAGGTGCCTGACTTTAGGGCTGGGTGAAAGCCCCTTGACCTTGGGCTTCAGCTCTACCTCTTGCTCCTGGCCCACTGAAGCTAGAGGCATCTCTTCACTCAGGCAGCTGCTAGGTGCTGAGGCTGACAATCCCATGGTCAAATGAAAAGGCACAGTCCCAAGATTACCAAACCACATGGCAGGCCATTAATTTAAGCCCAGTAAAAGTCCCAAGATTGGCAGGGCAACATGGCAGGCTGCTGAACGATGACTTGCTGTACGCAAGAGTCCAGCGTGCCATCAGGGGTGACCCTCCTCAAAGTTACCTCTTATATGGAAGCAGATTACCGCCCTAAAGCAGTTATTCAGCTGCTTCAGGAAAGTCCACCATGGACTCAGTTACCAATCTTACCATGGGGAATACCTACATCCATCTGGCCAGCCACTCAACCAGGCCCAGCCACATTGACACACAACCTTAACTACCACAGTTACTATATACCTATTTAATTATTTATTCCAAGGAATGAAAAATAAGATATCATTAAGTTCCCTGTGTTGACACGGAGTTGATAATGTTCTTTCAGTGTTGTGGTGATATAAACCAAACCTACCTCAGTGCCATGGAGTCGATTCTGACTCAGAGTGACCCGACGGGACAGAGCAAAACTGCCCCCACAGGGTTTCTAGGCTGTAATCTTTACAGAAGCAGGTCACCACGTCTTGTCTCCCTCAGAGCAGCTGGTGGGTTTAAACCGCCAACCTTTTGCTTAGCAGCCAAGGTTTTAACTCTTGTGTCACCAGGGTTCCTTGTTTAAACGTATAACCATTTGAAATGCTGTCAATTTAATGCCCGGAATTTTAGCCTAAACAGCAATTAAAATTAAGTCTTGTGGCATAATTAAAGGCCATCTGCTGTACTTCGCACCAAATCAATGGGGCGTTCTGCACAGAGGAGCTTATTCTTTGCACCAAACAAAAATACGTTTGTGAAGTAGCAAGTTTTTCCATTTCTATTTAATTGCTATTTTAAATCACCCTGCACAATCTTATGATTATCTTGGCATATCTTTGTTTCCAAGTTTAAACAGTCAATGTCCAGCAAGTAATAATGCGGAAATGGAAAACTAACTTGCAATTGTTTTATGAACTGGGCCAGCTGTTTCCAAACCTGAGCAAGCATTGCTGACTGCAGTCCCATGTAAATCAGCTTCCTAGAAGTTCTAGCTTCATATTTAACTTAAACACTGGTGTTATCTGCCCCTTTCCAATCTGGGCACCCTTGGCGGGATAATTCGATGCCTGAAGGCTTTCCTTAACTTTAAGCAATGTGTGTCCACGTTTTCCCAAAGAGATGTCAGAGGACTCCTTTGGTTAGATTGTTAAAATGGATAATAATAAGAAGCCAGGGTTTTCAATGGAACCTTAAGACAAAAAGAGAAGATGAGCTGAATTAAAGAGAATTTATGAAGCTGCCTGAGAGCAATCTCCAAAAGGCCGAACAGAAGAGAAATTGAGTGGATTTCACTCATGAAGCTCAGAATCGGAGTTTGTTATTTTTCTTCTTTTTTTTAAACCGCAGCACTGAGTGGTGTGAATGTAGAAGAAGGCAGAGGACTCTGCAAGTGGATTCCACTCCTTTTTTCTCATCAATTTAAAAAAAGAAAATATACTTTGGCTGATATCTGCTCTGATGGCGAAGTGCCTAAGGCACCTGACTGCTAACCAGAAGGCTGGCGGTTCAGACCCATCAGCCACTCCTCAGAAGGAAGGTTGGGCAATCTACTTCCATAGTGATACTGCCTTAGACCCAAGGAGGGGTCGCTGTGAGTCAGGTCCGACTCGACGGCAAACACAACAACAACAAATATCTGCTAGCTGCTTCCATGGTCTCTGGGCCAACTCTCTCCTCCTCGTCGTCCATCTCTAACTCCCTCTCTCTCAAACTTCCATTTTTTAATATGTAATACACACAGTGTTAAAAGTTTCCTTCCTTAATCCAATGTCCTATAGCAAGATAAATAGGTTAGGTATTAACTAGGTTTGTGTTTCACCAATAAGCGGGTTTTCCAAATCCCTACACCCTTCCTGGGAGCTCTGGTAGCATTGTGGCTAAGACACTTGCCTGCTAACCAGACGGCTGGTGGTTTAAACCCACCAGCCACTCCTCGGAAGGAAGGTTGGGCAATCCTACTTCTGTAGTGATACTGCCTCAGAAACCCAAGGGGGGGTCTCTATGAGTCGGGTCTGACTCGACGGCACATAACAACAACAACAACACTCTTCCTAACAAGTCATGGTACCATTTGTGTGGATAACATTCAGTTTATAATTTCCTTGTCAGGGTCCCTTGAGCACTCAGGACACTTCATGATAACACATAATATATCAGGAAATGTCAAATGACTGTTACACTGATGTGGTCCCACAGCCCTTCCAACAATAGCAATCTCCCCTCCCTTCTCTGGGAGACAGATCAGCATATAGAGTTGCAAAGAATCATGAATGGCTAAGGAATGAGTGGATGATGGTAGTTCAAATGTATAACCTTTCAAAAGGTAAATGAGATGTATGTTTTGCCAAAAGCAGATATACATGAACATACATATTTATATGTGTAAATCCACATACAAATACAGGTACTATATGTAATCCTCATCATATTAGCTCTCTAGTGAAAGGTGCACAGTTGGGTAACAGGATGCTTCTGACTGGACCAAAAGTTATCTGGACCAAAAATAATCTGCCAATATTCAAATGGAAAGAATTATCATGTCAGGGGCTCAAACACTTGAACATCTGGGGTAAGACCCTTTGAGTTTGTAAATCCTGAGTATCTCATCTGGTCCAGTTAGAGACACCGCACTCTTTCCCTTGTCCACCTGTGATTGATATTTGCAGATAGCCCCTCACCCTCAGAAGTACCCACCTGGTGTCTGTTCGGGTGTTCCACCGAGAGCTGGGGCAGACTGCTCATGCCTGGTCAACCTCACAGCTTAAAAATCAACAACAACTCTATTTAAATAAGCGTTAGAGACAACTCGAGCCTAGAAAGTACACTCAGTGCTAACCGCATTGGAAGTAAGGGCAAGTTTATTTTTCCTATTTGTAATAGCATCACATAAATGATGTTTAAGGTAGTAAAAGTTCAGGGGTTTTATTTGAACTTCAAGAACATCCTTCAATTTTACTTTTCAATTGTTAATCTTCAAAATTATCATATGAATCAATGCACAAGAAAATAACAGTAAGTAAATATTATATCCCAAACTGGTCTGTTAGGTTATAAAATAGCTGAGAAATTCATATAAATAATTGTAATTTATTTAATATGGGTATTATTTCTCGGATCTGATTCCATTTCACCTTGACCTAGCACTACCATGGGCCACTCGGAAGTGGCATCTGTAATTATCTTACTTCTTATTCCCTGAATAGCAGGGTTATTGGTTGTTTAAAGGGCTTTCACAGACTCTCCCAATGTTTAAAATAGCACATTTCCATGATCTGTCACAAAACACAGAAAAATGTAATAAACAAAATCAACTCATATTTATGATTAAAAATGGTTATGTTGCATAAGGCTGTTTTCTAATAAACATCGATGAAAAAGCAAACTTTTCTGCTTCTGACAGGATAAAAAAATACGTTTTATGGGGTTATTTTATTGATTTCACAGCAGTCACTTAATTCCTTAATTTTACAATTTAGCAATATATTTAAAATACACTCACTCATTAATATGGTGCTTTAGGCATACATTTTTCATTAGATGTCATTTCATAGTCATTGTTAATTGTTAGAGTTTTTCTAGGCATTTGTTAATTTAGGAAAAATGTTATTCTCCTTAAAAGTGTGACATAAAGAAAGACCTTTAGAAAACAAGTATCTGTGGTCCTGTCTGAAAATTAGCAATGCAGTTCGTTTTTATATAAAATTTACCTGCTGAAGTTGGGCGTAAATTCAGCTTCTCAGCCTGATTTTTCTTTTTCAAAAGCAACCATTACTACTGGTTTGTCTGGGGGCTTGTTGGCTGCCTCTATGGTGCTTGAAGAGCACATGTATTCGAAAGTCAACTCTACCTCCTCAGCTGTCATGAATCTCATGAAAATCTTTTTCAAAAAGCTCTTGGGTTACAAGATTGGTGATGCAAACCTTCATATTCTAAGACTTAGGAGCAAATGCTGCTTCTAGCCTTTATGGCAAGTGTCAGTGGATTGGCTGCCTTCTACGATTTAGAACAGTCAGCTGCTAGTGGTACTGTGGTTCCTCCCCAAGATGGAGAAAGCTGCCCGAGGCCTTCACCTCTGGGGGAGATCCTCTAGGGAACCTGAAAGCCAAGCCTGCTGAAAGGGCTCAATTTGCTACATAGACTCCTCTCTGTGAACATTCAACATGCAAGTCGGCCTCAGAAAGACAGTAAACGGACTGAGTGGAAGGATGGGAGAAGATACTCAACGGATTTTGGAGGTTAGGGTTTCAGGAAGGGAGAGCGCTCTCTTGGATTCCGCGGGCCCTTTCACGCTGTCCCTCAGGGAACGCACACTCTTCTGGCGGTTCCTTGCAAAGCGGGCTCTCTTGATCTTCCACAGTGCTGCATCACTGAGATTAGCAACGTTGGTCCTTACAGCAGTGATAGCTTTGCAAAAGGAAAGAAAGAAGTTATCGTTTTCCTTAGCTGCTTACAGAGTACAGCTGGTTGGAAACATTCACCTCCTATTGCCTAACATGACTAATGCCTATCATCTCTTTACACCATAAGATGAAACTATCTAATTTTGTGATCGCTGGAGGCATCGTTGTGTAAGTAAACTCCTCATTTATTTAGAGCCACAGATCAAGAAGCATGCAAAGAGTGAGTTTGCAAGGTGCAAATATATCTCACAAAATTGCTCACAAACAACATTATAAACATGATGACTGGATAATATTTAAGATACACACAGTTACAAAAAATTTATCACAGGTCCCCAAGAAACCGATAAGAATTCAGACATTGCTGCCAGAATATCGTTAAATCTATGGGCTACCACAGTAGATGCTCTATAAACACCCGACGCCCTGAGTACATGAAGTCAAGTCATCCTCCATAACGGGAAATTAAACTGCATGCGGGGTCTCTTCTGCCTTTCTAGCAAGCACAATAGGAACTGTGACTAGTGAGAGCAAGTTTTTTGTTTTACTTACTTGTGGGAAAAGGAAATTCTTTGTTACAATCCAAATGGAGCTGAGCTTCCAAAGAAAGTGTCTCAAATCTATTGACAAAAAACTCCCAGCTCAAAGCAGGAATATCTTGTTTAAGAAAATGCAAGAGTAAAAGCTTACTCAATATTGTGGGTCGGTCTTTAACCACAGTATCAAACTGGAAGTCGAGACAAAGACACAGACCCTGGGGAAGAAGAAAAAGATAAAGAAAGTCAGAACTAAACTTCTAAGTTACTTCAAAGCAAACACACCAGATGAAGACAATGAAACAAGGCAGCCTCTTCCATCCTTGCTTATAGTGTGGAATCCACCCACTGAAAGGAAATCATCGCCATGTTTGATAAGTGAAAAAGTTCAGATGAGGAGCTTCTCCTAATTGTAGAG